CACCTGAGGAGTACGACTCCTCGAACAGAAAGTTAAAAAATAATGAAATTGAACAACACTTGCCACCTTAAGCAGAGTTATTGGAACAGATGAACCAATAGTTTCAAATGAGTACAATACATGTTCAAGAGTTGAAGAAGAATATGGTAATAAAGCAAAGTGATAAACTCTTTTAGAAACAAGTGATATATGATATATATCTGTTAAAAGTAAGGTAGTTAAAATGAAGACACAAGGAATATCTAGCAGGATGATTACATGAAAGAATAAAAGGATAAACTGGGAGATGAAATTAGGAGTAATCCAAGGGGCAGCAGAAATAAAGAGACAGAAAATACAGGAGAAAGGATAAAAGATTGGGAGAACAGAATTATCGATACCCAGATGATACAAATCCCCAAAAGGAATTGAGAGGCCCTGAGTATCAGGACACGTAAGGAAATACCAATACCTAGACACGCGATAGTAAAACTGCAGAAGAGCAAAGGCAAGAGAAATTTTATGAAAAGATTCCACACAAAAAGTAAACCACCCACAAAGGAACAACAATTAGCCCAAAGTGAGACTTCTCAACAGTAAAACTGGATGCAAAAGACAATGGAGTAATAACATTTGTGCTAAAATTTTTTTAACACTTCTTCCTGTGAAGTATAGCCTACAAACACAGAAGTGCATAAACCATAAGTGTGACACATGAAGAAAAATTATAAAGTAAACAGCAAGGTAACCACCACTCAGGTTAAGAATATCGCTGGCCACTTAAGAAAGTATATCTAGAAAATGTAGCTCATTTTGCCTGTTTTTGAACATTATAAATGAACTTTACAAATGAGCTTATACTGTATGTATCCTTTTGTCTATTACTTCTTTTATATTACCATTAAAAATTAATGTTTACCATCTCTGTAGTTTGTTAATTTCATTGCTGTATAGAATTTATCACACTTATTTTTCTATTTTTGTTGATGAACAATTAGGTTTTCTCTAGTTTGGGCTATTACAAACAGTACTGTTAGGAATGTTTCGTGTATGTATCCTGAGAGACATGGGCTGGAGTTCCTAGGGTATGTGTCCGGGAATGCCACTGCTGGATTAGAGGATGTACACATTTCAACTTTTCAGATAATGCCAGAATGGTTTCCCAAAGTGGATAAACAAACAGAAGCTTGCTCTTTGAGGTCAGGAATAAGACAATGATATCTACTATCACTAGTACCGATCCACATTTTTATCATATTTAAGAGTAGTTCTATTCCTATTTACATGTATTTATAAAATCTAAAAAATCTGTGTTTGTAATTTTAACGTGGGAAGATATCTGAGTAGCATTTTTAGAGATGATGGAAATATTCAAGTTTTCTATTCCTCTGTCAGTTGTATAGGTTATATTTTTTTTAAGAATTTGGCTATTTAAATTTATTTGGTCATAATATCCTCTTAATGCTTGCATCATCTGGAGTGATATCACCTGTTTCAATTCCAGTATTGGTTAATTGGGTCTACTCTAAAACTTTTGAGTGGTCCTGCAGGAATGTATCAATTTTATCATTCTTTAAAAGGAACCAAATTTTTACTTTCCTGTTCTCAATTATGTATTTTTTCAATCTCAATAATTTCTGGTCTTCACTCTCTTCCACCTTCTGTTCTGAATTTCCCTTATTGTTCCTTTCCCGGCCTCTCGGTGCGGATTAGCTCATTAATATTCAGCTGTTCCTCTTTCCTAACATTTATGCTGAGGCGCTAATACATACACTAAAGGACCCGATTGCTGCCTCGGATGTATCTCACAAATCTGGATATGTATTTTTGTTATCATTTCAGCCCCAAATATTTTCCAATTCCCGTATGATTTCTTCTTTAACTCACGACTTATTTGAAAGTGTAATTCTTAATTTCTAATTATATGGGAATTGTCCAGCTATCTTCTTCTTGTTGATTTCTAGTCTAACTGCACAGTGGTTAGAGAACACATTCTGTAGGATTTCAGTCCTTTCACATTTGTCTGGATTTGCTTTCTGGCCCAAAATATGATCATTTTTGATAACTATTCCATATATGTTGGAAAACACATGTATTCTTGCAAGCACTGGAAGCAGCATTCTATGAGACCCATTAGGTCAAATTGTGTTGGTGGTCTAGTCTTCCAAATCATTGTAAATATTTTATCAGCTTGTTCTATTAATTACTGAAAAAGGTAATTTTCCTCTAAAGCTGTTTGTTTTCTACCATTATTTGAAATTTTATCAGTTTTTCCACTATATACGTGGGGCTATATTACTAGGTGAATATAAGTATATAAATTTAAAATGGAACCTTTTTATCTTTATGAAGTGACCTCTTCTAACTGCCATAATACTTTTTGACTTACAGTCTATCTTCTATAACATTAATATGTCTGTACTTTTGGTATTTGTTTAGTATACCTCTTTCCATCTTTGACTTTTAATTTTCCTGTTTCCTTATTTTTCAGATGTGTCTCAATAAACAGAACACAGTTGTATGTTTTAAATCCAATGTAAAATATTCATTTTTTAAATTGCAGGCAGTTAGTCCATAATTATTGTTATATGGATTTAAATCTACCACCATATTTTTAAAATTTTCCCTACAGTCCTATGTTTCTTTTTTTTTATTTCATTGCTTTGAGTTATCTGAATATTTTATCATTTCATTTTCTCTACTTGTTTGTATCCTATTCAAAGTCATATACCCTGTTTTCTGTTCTTTTAGTGGTTACCCTAGAAAGTATTCCTGTATTATTATATCAGTATCTAATGTTAATCAATACTTTACCCCTACACATGCGCGCACACACACACACACACACACACATATGCCTTAGTACGTTTGTGAAAGCACAGGGAAACATCTCTAAAGATATCTCCCAACTCTCTACTGGGTGGCAGGGTGCAGGGGTGTGATACTGGGGGGGAGAAGTAGGACGCTTCATTCTGCTTTTCACTGTGGTACATGTACACACTAAATTATGACCAAATATTAGTCTTCACTATTGTACTTTATATATATATAGTACATTACTGTACTCTTACTTTGTATAACTCATTCTTGCATTTGCTACAGTGTATTTTGAACATGGTGTCTTGCCCATAATCAATATTATTTAGGGGTTGAATCTGAATGGGGAAAATACAAAATCTTTTATTTTCAAACCCAAATTAAAATGAAGAAAAAATGAAGATACATGGTTTGTTGGATTGTTGGCAATTTGAAATTAAGAATGGGGTAGGAGCAGGCAGGGAATTTTGTGATCGGTAGAGCAATTAGTAACAGCTGAAATAGCCAGAACAAGAATTTAATGCTTACTGGATTTGCAGTAACATAGAACTCAGGATGATGACTTGCAGTGGGCCGGATTTCGGAAACTGGGTAGAGTGGGTGTTAAGTTGGCTTCACAGGAAACGGTTATCGTATAGAAGTAGGGTGCAAATGTTATGGATTAACCAGAGTTCTCAATAGAGTAGTGCCTCCAGAGTAGATACTACAAGGGTGCCCCCCTTCATTGTGTAGATTCACACAGAATGCGCTTTCACACACTTAAAAGCCTTGCCCCTAGATTCAGGGATCTTGTGGTCACCCATTCTTGTTTACAATTTAATCTAGTTTTCAGTGGCTACAGTTGTTGATTAAATTCATGCACCTGCACACATATACCCCACTTCTCCCCACCTGTAGCTCCTTGTCATGCCAGGTTTTCTCCTTTCATTCAGGTGACAAGATTCTCTCCTTGACCAAACTCTACTCAGGTTCCTCTGAACTCTTTTTTCAACTAGGCCTGGAATTTTGGATTGCCTGTTCGTATCTGATTGTTCAATTTTAGCAGGAAAGTCGGTTTAGCCAGAGTCCCCCATCTTCCACATCTGGTCAACCTCCATGTCTGTAACTCATCAGATTCCGGATCATTCACCATCTTCCAGGTGATGTCTGATCACACCAGCCTGCCTATTTCGAGAGTCCTGTTAGGTTGGTGTAGCCAGAATGCCCCGTTACCCCTAATGTTTCCTCTTAGTAATTTTCCATCCACTACCCGCCACCCTGCTCCTGGGCTATAAATTCCCTCTTGTCCCCGTATATTCCGAGTGGAGCCCGTATCTCTCCCCACTGCGGTGATCCTTATACAGATTGAGGAGGAGCCCCTTGAATAAAGCCTGCCTTACCTTTCCTTCAATTTTTTGCCTTTAACGTAGGTCTCTGCTCAACTCTTAACTTTCAAAAGCGGATTCAGAGACCAGCACGTGTGAAACAGCTTTCCTGCCTACCCTTTCAGCTTTATGTTTTTCAGAACAGTATGGTACTGGAAACAATATTAATTAGGTGTTTTTTTTTCACATGTCGCCTTGGAATATGAGCTGAGCTAGGGCAGGAATATCGTCGGCGTATTCCCAAGGCCTGGCACACAGTAGGAGATCATTCAGTGTTTGCTGAACGAATATATTGTCCACGGAATCCTCCCAAGTACAGATGCAACGAAGACTCACACATCGTGAGAACAACACAGAAAAACCGGGTGGGAAGGAGCCTCGAGTGGGCAGAGGGGGGCTTCACGGGTGAGGAAACAGCCTTGGGGGAACTTCGCTCAGGCGGCCCGGAGGCGCGGAGGGCAGGCCTGCGCCCGGGGGACGCGGCGGCCCTGGGCGCCACCGGCAGCGGGCGGCGTGCGCGAGGCCGGAGCCCGGTGCCACCACGTCCGAAGGGGCTGCGCGGCCCGGGAGCTGCGCGCCGGGCAGACGCCCGAGACCCCGCGGGGCCGGGCCGCCACCGCCGGGAGCGCCGAGCCCAGGTCGCTGCCTCACGCCCGGCGCCGCCCCGTTCACCCTTAGCCCGGAGCTCCGCCACCCCGCCCACGACGCCCGGCGAGCACGCGGGGAGCCTGTCTGCGCGGCGGGGGCGTGAGAGTCCGCCACGGCCCACAAAGGTGAGGTCTTGTTTCCGGGGACGTTTTAGGGAAGAACACTCGTCCCTCCCCCTGCCGGTCAGGTGAGCCCGGCTTCTTCCGCTCCTCGTGGATTTGGCCGGAGTCGCCTCGTGAGCTGTTGCCGCCGCCGACTCTGAGGTCTCGCCGTGTGGACTCGGGGGTCCGGAGGTCCCAGGCCGCGAGAACGTCACCATGGTGGGTCCCACCCGTTTCTGGAAGGCTCCGGTTGGCGGCGGGGAGGGCGGGCCGGCGTCGGGCCGCTGGGAGCGGGGTGCGGAGGGAGAACGGTGGGCGGTGCGCGGGCTGCGGTGCAGGCACGGGTTCCGGGCCGGGTCCTACAGGGCTCTTAGGGCGCCTGCCGCTGCCCCCAGCCCGCGGGGAATCCGCGGGTTTCCGTGTACTCGCTCCTCAGCGGTGTAGGAGCGGGGGGCGGACGGGGCGCGTCGGGGACGGCGTAGTCGCCGGTCCTCGCGGCCGCTCACCACCCCTCAGTGTCCTACTCCCGCCCCAGACCTTGCCTCCACGCCCCTCATCCCCTCCGTCGCACTGACACTTGGTTTTTATTAAAAATGCAGTGGATGCAGAAGAGCGCTTATGTAGCACGTTTAAGTATAAACCGTATAAGGAACTCTCGTTTATCCGTTTTTCACTTTAAGAACACGTTTGTGTTCTCCTTGAACCTATATTTCCAGGAGCCACTCAGAGGTAAACAGTATCTAAATTATGCTTGCTTGTTTTTATGTTTACTCCTTACGTTTATATTACAAAACTGCTATTTTTTTCCTTTTTGCTTCTGTTGTTGAGAATAATTCTTGAATGGGAACATGTTTTGTAAATAGTCACTTTTCAATTAGTTTCTAACGAAAACAACAGCATAAAAAAGTTTATAATCTGGTAATAAGTTGTGATACTCTGGTCTCAGTGCCATTAGTCCCCTTTCTCTGTCACTTTCCATTTTCTCTTTTTCCTTTTCATTGTATTTTTATTTTTCATGTCTGTCTACAGTCTTTTTGCTTTAGATTATATATACGTTTGTGTAAATTAAGTCTTTTTATTTATCAGTATGTGCGGTGGCCAGCTGTTTATAATTTTCTTTTCTAGGCTTTCCTAGAAAACCTTGGCTCCCTTGTCTGGACTCCCGATTCTGTTTTATTTGTTTCTGTTTCTGTTTTTATGCCTATAAGCGTAGTAAGTATTAAAGCGATTACCTGCTAGTAAAAACTGGTTTCTGAGAGTTAGTAAAACTAAAGAAAAACATTAATGAAAGTCTACCTAGTATACCAGCTTTGGGGATCATGTTACATGTACGTGGTTTAAAAAAAAAAAAAGAGTAAAATGTTGTCCGTGAAATGTGTGTTAATTTCCTTTTACTGCTGTGAAAAATTAATACAAATTTAATAGCTTGAAACAACACAGATTCATTCTCTTATATTCCTGGAGATCAGAAGTCCAAAAATGAGCCTTACTGAGCTAGAATCAAGGTGTAGGTGGGGCTGTTTTCCTTCAGGATGCTCTAGTGGAGAATCTCGTCCCTTTTTCCAGTTTCTAGAGGTTGGCTCTTGGCCTTCCTTCTCTTCAAAGCCATCAGTGTAACACCTTCAAATCTGCCTGAAGAGAAGGGCACATCTCTTTCTCTTGACAGTGATCCTTCTGCCTCCCTCTTATAAAGACCTTGCAATTATTTTGGGCCCTTGTGGATAATCCAGGATAATCTCCCCATCTCAGGATCTTCGATGGCATCTGTACAGTCCTTTTTGCCATGTGTGGTAACACATTCATGGGTGTGGGGGAATTAGAGCATGGTCATCTTTGGGAGGGAGGGCATTCTACCTACAACAAAAAGTAGGTCTGCCTCCAACTGTGTTACCTAATTCCCTAGCTCAGTTGAGAAACAACCACTGTTAGAACACAGTTTCTTAGATAATCATTCAGATATTTCAGATGAATGTGCCAGTATATATGTCCTCTGACCTCCCTCTTTTTATAGAAGCAGTATGCTAGACACGCTCCTAATGCCCCTTGCTTTTTTTCTTCTACCTGATCTTAGACATCAATCTACATGAGTACACATAGATCTACCTCTTGCTTTTTTTTTTTTTTTTTTTTTTTTTTGTTTTGGGGCCTCTCCTTTTTTTGTCCTTTTCCGTTGCGGGGCACAGGCTCCGGCCGCGCGCAGGCTCATCGGCCATGGCTCACGGGCCCAGCCGCTCCGCGGCATGTGGGATCCTCCCGGACCGGGGCCCGAACCCGCATCCCCTGCATCGGCAGGCGGACTCCCAACCACTGCGCCACCAGGGAAGCCCTACCTCTTGCTTTTTTAACAGCTGACATCCTATTGTTTGCTTTTACTGTAATTTATTTACCAGGTCTCTGATGGACACTTAAGCTGTTTCCATCCTTTTGCTATTACAAACACTGCTGCATTGATTATTATTTGTTTTGTACATGTGTAAATATGTCTGTAGACTAAATTAATAGAAGTAGGATTCCTTGATCAAAAGACGTGCAGTTTTTATTTTGAAAAGAACTATCAAATCACCTTCCAGAAGATTGTACCAATTTACATCCCGCTTATTAGTGAGACTACTAACTCACCCACAGTGTCACTAATGCAGTGTGAATAAATAATTTTTCAAAATCTTTTTTATACATTAAAAATTATAGTTTATTGAGGTTTTAATTTACATTTCTTTTAAGGTAGAGCACACATCTTTTCAAAACCTAAAAGGCATTTATCTATACTCTTTCTTGTGACCTGTTTTTATTTTAGGTTACTAATCTTTTTCTCATTGATTTCATAATGGTGCGTGTTACATTGTAGGTGCTTATTAAATATCTGTTCATCTGAGCTTAGCCCTAGCCCCTTTTCTTATTCTACTGAAGAGACTCTTATCTCTGTGGCTTTAAAGTACCTCCTTTAACCCCACGTTATCCCAAATTTGTATCTTCAGCCCAGACCTGTTTTCTAGGTGCCAGACTCATAACTTTATTTACTTAGTTTACATCTCTACTTAGCAGTCTCCAGGGCATCTTAAACCAGTGGCTGAAAGTGGGTTCTTGATGCCCCTGTCTCCATGTGCCAATTCCTGTCTTAGTCAGTGGGAGTTCTGACCACTTGGTTGCTTTGTTGCAAACGTGGGAGTCATACTGGACTCTTCCCTTTCCCTCACCGTCCATAGTCAGTTCTGTCATTCTGTCTTCAAAATGCATTTCATACCTTGCCATTTGTCTCCATCTTCACTGTCACCCTGGTTGTGCCACTCAACTGTCATCTTTTTCTTAATGACCTCAATACTTCAGTAGTCTTGCTTCTTACTGTATCTCTGTCCAAATTGTCCTATATACAACAGCTCACATTATTCTTAAAAAACCAAGTAGGTCTCAAGTCCTCGGGGAGTCTCTTCCTGATTTCCCAAAGTTAGGTACGCCTATTATATGGTGGCCATTTTCTGGCCAGCACTTACTAAGTTATATAGTTATTCATGAGATAACTAGATTGTAAATTACGTAGTTAGGATATAAGTAGACTGTAAGCAAGTCCATGTCTGTTTTTAATCCTGGAACCTCACTGCCTATTTTAATATATGGTAGTGTGTGCTCAGTAAGTTTGTGGGTTTTTGTTTTTTTTGGTCAGTGAACATTAGTATAAGATAGAGGTGTTAAGAGTGGTAGCAGAAGAATGGGAGAAATCGTTAATTCTGACTAGATATCGATGGGTAAGTCAGGAATAACATAAAGTTGAGCCTGATGTTAGATTTTTGCATGAAAGGTAAAGTCGGCATTAGAGAATTATTAAGATATTTTCTTAATGTTAAGGAGAGTATTGTTTGTGAGCCTTTAAAATTATTTTTATATGAGGTATTTCACACGATTTTAAAGAACTTTTTAAAATATTTTTTACTCATAGTAGCTCAGTGTACAGTATACAGTAAAATATTCACTTGGGTCAACATCCCACTCTCTTTTCTTTCCTTCCAACTATTATTTTCAACCCAGTAGAACATGTTTGTAGTCTTCAGGGAGCTGCAATGTAGGAGATAAGCACACGTGTGGAATTAAATGACTGGTCAGTGCAGTATGTTAAGTGCTATGGGAGAAACGCTACCCAGAGAGAAAGGATACTGAGATGTGAAATGGTTACATATTTGTGGATGTCTTCACAAATATGTGAACTGGAAATGGTCCTTGAAAATTGAATGGGATTTAGCAAGGCTTATGTGGAGAACAGTTTAAGTTCCTTTCTGGATGCTCTAACTATGTATTTGTCATTGACACTTGTCGTTGGCATCAAATTTATCTGTTAAGCAAAGGAAATGCCCTAGGGTTCTTCAGGGTAGAGTGCCTGCAAAAAAATGGTGCAGGTTCTGTTAATTAGTTCATTACATTCCTGTTATGTCTTCGATGTTAAGTGACTTAGTATATCATATTCTAGAATTTATTTTGTGCTTTAGGGTATTTGGAGTTTAAGGTATTATATACTGTAAGCTTTCTCAGTTGTAGGCATGGCTTTACTCCTCTACATTTTTTTTTTTTAAGTATTCATATACCTTTGTGTACCTTAAGTGTGTTTGGTGACATGATCATTCTTCTAGGTTTCTAGTTGAATTGGGCAGTCTAAATGACACTTTTGTTTCTAGTTGAGCCTAGATTCTTTGATGGCTTTGATACTATTTTAGGAAAAGTTCCATTTTGTTATTTATGATTTTAACAGGAATATTCAAAGCATATTGCTCCTGAAATACCCCTCTTTGTTGCCGTGTTGGTTGAATAAACTACTTGTGTGTTTTCTTTGTTACTCTGAAGTATGAATCCAAAGACTAGTTTATAATGAATTTTCTGAAGTAATCACTAAAGATTGTATGTAAGAGAGACTTTTAATATCAGTTTTCTTTTTTTTTTTTAACATCTTTATTGGGGTATAATTGCTTTACAATGGTGTGTTAGTTTCTGCTTTATAACAAAGTGAATCAGTCATACATAAACATATGTTCCCATATTTCTTCCCTCTTGCGTCTCCCTCCCTCCCACCCTCCCTATCCCACCCCTCCAGGCTGTCACAAAGCACTGAGCCAATATCCCTGTGCCATGCGGTTGCTTCCCACTAGCTATCTACCTTACTACGTTTGTTAGTGTGTATATGTCCATGACTCTCTCTCGCCCTGTCACAGCTCACCCTTCCCCCTCCCCATAACCTC